CAAGTTTCACTGGAATATTTTTTAAATAAAATGAGGTACTTCAATTAGTAAAATACAGAATATATATTGATGTTCTGTAGCAGTTATTTATAGAATCATTAAAGTGGGAGATGTCACACTAATAATTCAGAGCTCTCCACCAAGGAGTTTACTGGGTCATGGACACAGTATGACAAGCAAGTTCCTGCAAATGTTATCTTTTAACCAACTAAAATACTAAGAACAATGAATACTTTAATCCATTGACAATATATCAATTTAACATTGCATTTTCATTTTCAATGGTTTCCTTCATGATTTGATTCAAAAGCATTTAAAAATACAGTTGATTTTAATTTTTTCATCAATTTTTGGTATACAACTTTGAATGGAGATGTCAGTAAGCTGCCAAACGCATTAAAAAGTGGAAAGCACAACCGTGAGAGAAATAAAGAGCCTCAATAATCTATAAACAAAACACACAGCTTCTGGTTAATGCAAATCAACCTCAGCAGAGAGAAATCAACCTAATTTTAATTGGATTGTAAGTTGATTTTTTCAAACCTGGCAATCCATATTGTTTAGGGATGTGTTCTGGATTTATTTAGGTAGGTCCCACACATATCAATAAACAGTTTTCTTGGTTGACATAAACTTGATAATGAATTGCTTATTAATGGGGAAAAAGCAAATAGAAAAATGAAAGTTTAGAGCATTTATTTGGTGTAAATAGTCCTATGTTGACCAAAAATGTACTGTGAAAATGTTTATGTATATTTAACCACCTAAAGAATAAGAGAGCAGTAAACTCATTGTCTTTTGTTAGTGGTTTCCCAGCCAAGAACTTTCTTCTCATTTTGTTCCTCCAATCCAAATTTTAAAAAGTCGCACCCACTTCTTCCTTTAAGGGGCTATTCCTGATTAATTCCCATCTGACATGATCTAAAAATTAGTAAATTCATGCTTGCTGAAGTGAACTTTAACAATCACTCCCTATATATAAGCTCTCAGCAAAATTCCTGATTGATGGGTATTGTACTTGAACATTACCAGTGATTGAGGTCTCTTGGCTTTATAGAAAATTCTCTATCATTTTTGAACATTTTAATTTTTAGCTGAAATTCATCTCCCTGTCAGTTATCATCTTTGACCTTCGTTCTGTCCTCTGGAAAAACATGCAGTAAGTCATATCTATCTTTGCTCCAGAAACTTTCAAATATTTGAAGATAGTTTTATCTTCCCTAGGTCTTCTCCTTTTTAAGTTAAGCATCTTCAGTTCCTGGAGCCTTGTCTCATATAATATATGTTTTATGCTTCATTATTCCTGATTTCTCTTATCTAAATGCAGCCATTTGTGGATGTCTGTTTCCAATTAAGAATAATTAACAGAACAGAGCAACTGTGATCTGACTAGGGGAGACAATAGTTGGACTCACAAACTATCTTTATTTAGATGCTTTTTATTATTATAGCTTAAATGTGAATTATCTTGCCTAGCAGTTAGAAGACCTCTTACTTAGTTTTTAAAAATTGTTTAAGTTTCCCCAGCTTACATATTCATTTCCCATCCTGTGCTTGTGCAACTGATTTTTGTAAACCTAAAAGCAAGACACTGTCATGCGTCATATTGTTGAGTTTAGATGTTAAACTCTTTGAAAACTTGGTTAATATAAATTTTTGATTATTCTACCCAGATGGTTTCTCATTTACAAATTTGATAAACATAGCTTTGATTGATAAGCTGTGAATAGGACAGATATAGATATCTAAAGCATGGTATTAAGAAATCTCTCATCTTTGCACCACACAATATAATCTTTCCTACATCCATTCATTCAACAGACTCATTAAGTACCTACTACATGCTAAACACAATTTTAGGTACTGAGAATATAAGAATAAATCAATAGGTGTCTGTGTTGTGGTATAGTGGGTAAAGCTGCCTCTGGCTCTGCTGGTATCCCATATGGGCACAGGTTTGCGTTCCAGCTTCTCCCCTTCTGATCCAGCTCCCTGGAACAGCCTTTAAAAAAGCAGCCAAAGAAGGCTCAAATGTTTGAGTCCCTGCCACCCATCTGGGAGACAGACCCCTATGAAGTCCCTGGTTCCTGGCTTCCTCCTGGCCCAGTGCTGGATGTTGCAGACATCTGGGGAATGAACCAGTAGGTAGAAGATTCATTCTCTCTCTCTCTCTCTCTCTCTCTCTCTCTCCCTCCCCTCCCTCCCTCCCTCCCTCCCTATAACTCTTTCAAAATAAATAAAACTTAAAAAAAATTAACAAGTAAATAGTCCCTACCACCTTGAACTTTATATTGTTATGGCAGAAAGTCAAAATAAACAAGTAACCAGGTAATGTAATTTCTATAATTATTTAAGAAAAATAAATCACAATTAGTAGATAGTGATTTCAGAGTACTATATTAAATACTTTGGTCCATGAAGATACATCGGAAAAGAAAACAATGTAGCCTAGCAGCCTGAGTGCTGTGAAGAAGTACACTATATGTGGGTGCAAACTGTTAAAATCTTTACTTAATATATACTAAATTGATCTTCTGTATGTAAAGATAATTGAAAATGAATCTTGATGTGAATGGAATGGGAGAGGGAGCAGGAGATGGGAGGGTTGCAGGTGGGAGGGAAGTTATGGGGAGGGGAAAGCCATTGTAATCCATAAGCTGTACTTTGGAAATTTATATTTACTAAATAAAAGTAAAAAAAAAAAGAAAAGAAAATATGGGGGAAGAATTTTCCAAAAAAAGTATAGCAAACCCTGAGTCTATGAAGAGGGAAGAAGCTCTCCAGAAAGAGAGAAAGAGAATTTTAAAAGACCAGTTGGCTAGCACATAATGAACCATGGCAGGAGCACGTGGTGGATAGTAAGTCATTGCAAGATATTGGGACTCTCTTATTTAATTAATGGAAAGAATTAGAAGAATGTTAAACCAGAGAGTAATACAATATGATTCAAACTTTATAAAGACTATTTTGACTGGAATTATGAGAAAATTTTGAAAAGTTCAGAAAACCATACAAGATGCATTTGTAACAGTTCAACCTAGGGGTGATAGTGACTTTGGTGTAGAGATGGAGAAGGTAAGGAGTGCTTATATTTGGGACATCTTTAGAAGATATAGTCTTCAAACTTATGAACAGCTTGGATATAGAGTTAGGGGGAAAGATAACTGAATAACTGAATGAGCTTAATTGACCTTTTGTACTCTGATTTCATATATGTATTCTCTTGTAGTTGGACTATATACTCTGGTTTCATACATGTCTTCTCTTGTTAGTTCATTACCCTTCTTTTTCTCTCATATCCCCTGAGTTCTAGGTATACTAGATACTTAATGAATATGTTAATTCATCATCAGTAGGTCATCTCCTAATCCTCTACTTTCACATTTATCATTCTTTGCTTGAAATGTCTCATCCACATTGCTATTCATTTCTGCTCTTAACACACCAATCTAAGCCTAAATTAATTAGAACCTGGATTAGTACAACTGTCTAACTAATCTCTCACTCTAGCTTATCCCAGTCTCATTCAAAATTCAAATTACTTCAAAAATTTGCTTTCAGTCATTCATTCAAAGAGCAGTTACTGATTTGTCTACTTTGTGCCTAGGACACATCTAGATGCCAGGAATATTATAAAAATAAAACATACAAAAATCCATCCTCATGAAGCTTATAATTGCAATAACTAAAAATATGAGATACATCTTATAATAATAATGTTATGAATAAAAATAAAACAAGAAAGGGGCCATAGGAAGTGTTAAATCACAATTTCAAAAAGGAAACATTTCTATAAAGAGATTGCATTTGGACATATTTGAATCAAGTGAGGAAGTCATACAAAGATCCTGATGTGGGCATGAGCTTGGCTTGTTTGGTAAATACATAGAAGGCAGGTGTAATTGGAAAGTGAGTTAGTGGCAGAGTTGCAGGAGGCAAGTTCAGAAATATGGCAAGACCAGATCTTTTAAAGTCTCTTGGACATGGTTAAGGAATGTACATTTTATTCTATTTTGTGAATGCAAGCCATTGGATAATCTGGAGCTGGGCATAATCTAACTTTTGTTTACAAGTCATATAAAGCTGCTCTGGAAATGGTTTACTACACAAGGTTGAAGTCCCATACCCTAGAACATTTGGTGGCTTTTAATCAAATCAAAGTTCTCTACTTTAGAAGGTTTTTATTACAAACCTATCCCATCTCCCTAATTCTCAATTAATACCCAATACTTGTTATACTGGCTTCATCTTGGACTATTTATATCATGCATGAGAGGCTTTTAGAAAGTTGATGGAAAATGTGTCATATGAAAAAGCTCTCTGCATGGATTTCAAAATTATTATGCATGAATATAAATTCATATTTTAATTCCACTTTCAGTGAACTTTTTGAGGTATCTTCCTACTTATGTGGTACAATGTGACATTTTCAAAGTCATTTCTTCTAGCATTTAAAAAATAGGCAGTAGATTTTCTATGGTCACTGTACTATATACTTTAGGACAACTCATTCCATCCTTTCTTATCCAACATCTAAGAACATCTCAAGTTTCAATTATAACAGAATACTTCCCTACCTTAATGTACATCTTGTCTCTAACTCATGACTGAGCAGGCATCATGTACTTTATTTTTGTGGATACTTACTGTGTACTAATCTTTTCTTCCAATGATATTGCAAAGTCTATTGTGACACAAAACCAATGAATTCTACATGTCTCGTAGTATCCAACAAATTTAGGGAGTTATGTCAGTTCACTGACAAAACATATGACTTGATTTTTTTTCTGTAACAGTGATCATCAAATAACTTCTGGCACAACAAGGATTGATTTGAGATGAACAGAAGGCACAATTTCTTGTCAGTCGCCAGAGTCAACCAGTCATACCTAACAGTACACTCACTCTTATTGAAAAATTCCAAAGGCTCTTTGGACAGCTTCTTAATATTAGTAAAAGTGAATATATACTTGTCAACTGAACACAGAAGATTGTATTTCTTTATGCTATCACTTGGTTTTAGCAGTGTGCAACAATTTTGCTGAAACCAAATCTCAAGTTGGAAGATCAAGCAGCACCTGCTCAAATGGCTGTTGTGTAACTATTATAGACACAGGAATGCTGGATGTTCAGTCACACAGAGAGGGAGAGGTTCAGAGGGTCCTGGCCATAGATGCAGCTGATTTGTGCAGGGAGGAAGCAGCCCCACTGCAGGCAGCCATCTGTCCTCCCCCCTCCCCACTCTTGGGTTCTGGGCTGAGGCCAGGGACTGTCCGGAGCTGATCTCGGGCTCCCATTGGCCGCTGTCTTTAGTGACGTCACGATCATGATGAGAATTGATGATCGGACACGCTGATTTCATTGTCTGAGGCGGCAGTGGAGACCCAGGAAAAATCTCGCTGAATCCGCCTGCCCCAGCACTGGCCTGTTCTGGGATCCTCTGATCCCTTCCGTGACCGCACCACGCCCGAGGTAAGCACCCAACCTGGGCGGGTGTGAAGGGCGAAGGAGGGCGGGCAAGGCTTCGGAGAATGCTTTGCCCAGTGGGGGGCCGGTAGGTTCCGTGGCCTAAAAAGGCAGCCAACAAATTGGTGCGGCTTCTGGGAAGCTAAGTGCCTCTTCCTTCCGAGCAAAGGCAGGCGGCAGCGCGAGGTTAGAAACGAACTGAGGATAGGAATACAGTGGGCATTGCCAAAAAGCAAAGGACTTTGCTCCGAGAGAGGGCGATGTAGGAGCCGCGCTTCTGGCCCAGTAGTAGGAGAAAGTGGCGCCTCTGCCTCCGAAGAAAGGAGGGGGTTGATTTCTACCACTTCTAGATTTCACTGGACAGTAGATTTCTCACAGCCCTACTCAAACGCACTAACGGCGCTGCGCCTGCGCGTTTGCACCTTGGTGGAAGGAGGTGGGGGCTCAGGGCGAGAATAGGCTTTGAGTTTGCGCAGGCGCTTTTTCCGTTTCGCTGAAGGGGGTGGGGCTGAGCCCTGTCCGGGCTGAATGTGGGAAAGGTTGAGGAGTTAGTTGGCCTTGTGATGTTTCAAGCAGGGATCTGCCAGTTATTTTGAATTTGGCCTGTTGACTGTACTCAGCCCCCAAATGTATGTGATACATTTGAGAAGACAAATACTTAATCTCTATAGATATTAGATTTAGAATAATGGAAATAATTCAGAGAATAATTTGTGAAATAGAAAGTTCTGCCATGAGAAAATGCTTAGAGAAAAACACTAATTATTCAAATGAATCCAATTTCTAATCCTCAAAGAGCTCTAATTTGGAGTGACATGGTGATTGTGAACTTGAAACCCTTTTGAAAGACTCAGAATGAAGTCCACTGTAGAGACTCAGAGGAAGAAATTTTCCTTTCTTGTCCTTCTTCTTCCTCTTCTGGATCAGTCTCCTATAAATCTTTAGTCATTGTATCTCTGCGAGAATCATAGACGGCAATTCCTATTTTGAGAGACCCTGTCCAACAGGGATATATTACTCAGCAGTTGGGAGGAGCAACCTGCCACTGTCATTAGTGAAAAATTTGTATAAAGTAGTATTATTAACTCCCCGACACAATCTAAACATGGACTTCTATTTCACTGAGGAATCTGTATTTTTCTTCATTTCTTCCGTTTAAGGAATTACTAAGTATTGGTAAATTGTCTTTTGCAAGGAAGCTCACACCATTCTTCCCTTACTCTACAACTGGAAGTCTCATCATCAGTCACTGCAGGAGCTTCCTAGCCAGCCTTGACCTATGGCCCAGAAGCTTAATTTATCATGCTGGGTTAATGTTGGTGAACACTTCTCTCCTCTATTTCTTTCACAAAAATATTTTTGAATCTGTATATTCTATTGTTCCAAGCTAAACTTCACCCGCATTTCAAAGAACTTCAAAATTTTGTCTCATTGTATCTGTTATTTTGCTTATTCTTCAGCACACAAATCTCATTAATGTTACCCGAACACTTTATCTCCATAACTTTGCTCCTATATCACTACCATCACCTTTACCCAGCATGCCCTGTCTTCTATATAATTCAAATCTTAGCCACTTTTGAAGCTCAACTCATGTCTCTCCTCTCCATAAATGCCTTCTAAGTCTAACCCAGCTGTTATTGACCTCACTTTTTCTGAAATTCCCACACAAATCTTGTCATTTTCTTATAGTCAAAATTCTACTGTGTTATTTGTTGTGGTTGTGGTCGTTGTTGTGTGTTTGTGTGTGTGTGTGTGTGTGTGTTAGACCAGACTCCTCAACTTGTTTTTAAACCCTACCTTTAAAGGTTAAGACCATGCCATCTACATCTTTATCATCTGCCTTGGCATTGGGCTAACTAATCAAAATAGCTGTAGCCATATATATCATTCTTTTTTCTCCCTAGAAAGCAATTTCCTGTGAAATGAAGTAATATTGTTATAGAGAGAACTGTAGACATGTGAATCTTATTCTCATTGTTCATGCAAGTACCCTCCAGTGACTGAATAAATTTTAGTAGAAATCAGGGAAAAGACATTATAGAGATTTTGTATAATGAGTGGCCTCTGAACATAGCATGTCTTCATAAACAAGATCAAGGGAACATGATCCCCAAAGCAGTTCTATTCCCATCCTTAAGCTGCTAAGTTAAGAGATACCCACTGCTCTACACTTCCTTCTTAGGACATTGCATCCTCTTTCTTCTCACAAAAGCTACTGTTCACTCACTTTTTGTTGCATTATATCTGCAATTGCAATTTTACATGATCCCTGATATCTCTTTGTACATAACTTGTATATCTCTTGAATCAGATCTGATGGTTGAGGTGGTTGCCATAATTATAATATTATATATTTGATGTCAGTTTTCTAACCCTTGGACTTTGAACTGAATTATCCCACAGAATTCAAGTTTTACTTGAACAACAGTGAGACTGTGGTTTAATATAGAGGCTTTACCCAGATTTAACTTGGGCTGTAGCTTCATTTTGAGGCAGTGTCCTAATAGCACTTCAAGGTTGATGGTTTAGGGGCATGAAAAAAAGCAGCCCAGCAGTGTGTTTTAACCTGTAAATTTAAATTCATTATCATAGATTATTGTAAGTGAACTATAAATGTTACTTATTATGAAGAAAAATCCTTTCTCCCTGACCTTTTCTCTTACTACCTGTATTATGTGAATCTCCATCCTCCCAAAAAGCTGTTTTAGCCTGCAGTCAACCTGTAGTGTCATAAGACTTTCCTAGACATTTATATGTAGACCAATAGACAAAACTGTTCAGAGTTATGCAACTTTATAGAATGTGGTGCTTTGGAATGTGCTATTAATTTTAGATAGCTTAAAATAAAATAAAAATGAGAGTATGGTATAAGTATTTTTTAAATAAACTGTTAGCTTCTTTTTGTAAAGATTTATTTATTTATTTGAAATGCAGAAGCAGAGACAGAAAGAGAGAGATCGATCTTCCATCTCCCCAAATGGCTGCAATGGCTGGAGCTAGGCAGATCCAATGCCAGGAGCCTGGAGCTTCTTCTGGGTCTCCCACGTGGATGCCGGGGCCCAAGGACTTAGGTCATCCTCCGCTGCTTTCCCAGGCATATTAACAGGGAACTTGATTGGAAGTGGAGCAGTCAGTACTTGAAATAGTGCCTATATGGGATGCTGGCACTGCAGGTGTTGGCTTTACCCTCCAAGCCACAACTCCTGCCCTGGTATATGTATTTTAACATTTGTTTTATAATTCTTATCTGAATGAGAGGATGGCATTAGGTTATAGAGTTTGTGATGGAAGAATAAGCCTACCCCTCATTTTATATAATTAAGCCACAAGAAGTGAAGTACTTTAACAGTATTAATAAATGCAGTGTTTATTAATCATGTAGTACACGGCATTGTGCTAACAACTTTGTATATGTTATAAGGTTGAAATCTCACAACATTCCAGTGAGATATGCTTTAGTATCTTTCCAATATTAAAAAAATGAGAAAACTTATGTTCAAAGAAGTTGACTGCCCAAGACCACACAGTCAGTATCACAGTCAAGATGCAAGGAGAGGTCTGTTTGATGTGTAATCACTAAGTTTTGCTTACAAAGGTCATGTAATGAATTCTTGGAATAGCTTTAGCTATGATCTAAATCTCTGAGTCCCTGTGTGTGGGTGTCTGTTTATATTACAATGTTTTCCATGAATCCTATGTTGTTTCTATAAAATCAGGGATTTCTAATCTTTACCAAATGGTGTATATGTGCATTTATTTAAGTATAGACTGTCTCAGTCCTTCTTTAAAAAAAAATTAGTTTATTTATTTGAAAGGCAGTGTGACAGAGAGAGACAGAAACAGAGACAGAGAGAAAGAGATCTTCCATTTGCTGGTTCACTCCCCAAATAGCCAAAATTGCCGTGGCTGGGCCAGGCCGAAGCCAGGAGCCTGGAACTCCTTCCAAGTCTCCCACATGGGTGGCAGGGATCCAAATATTCGATTCAACGTCTGCTGCCTTCCCAGGTGCATTAGCAAGGAGTTGGATCAGAAGCAGAGCAGCAAGGACTGAAACCGCTCTACAATGTGAGATGATGACATCCCACGTGGCAGCTTAACCTTCCACACTACAATGCCAGCTTCACTCTCAGTTTTGATTGAAAATAATGGCAAAATTTTTGTAAAAATATATTTTTAAAAAATTTAATTAATTCTACTTTGGAAAGTGTGGTGTACAGTAGGAAATATATTGTTCAAAGTGTAATCCTGGCCGGCGCCGCGGCTCACTAGGCTAATCCTCCACCTAGCAGCGCCGGCACACCAGGTTCTAGTCCTGGTCGGGGCGCCGGATTCTGTCCCGGTTGCCCCTCTTCCAGGCCAGCTCTCTGCTGTGGCCAGGGAGTGCAGTGTCTCTCTCTCACTATCCACTCTGCCTGTCAAAAAAAAAAAAAAAGTGTAATCCTAATAGGATAAAAAATGTTGATTGCTGTTTACTTTTGATTTTGCAGTAGAGCCAGCTAAAATAAAATTAAGAATGTCCTTGATATGCTTGCACTGGATACACGATAGTTAGATATACTGGTTTGCAAATAAATGGAAATAATTTTATAGAGATATATAGAAAGGATCTGGAGAGGTTAGCATACTCAGAAACTGCGACTGACACCCTGAAATGTTTTCATTCTGCATAAAATTTCTTTTTTTTTATTTGAAAGACAGAGTTAGTGAGAGAGAGACAGAGAGAAAGGTCTTCCTTCCGTTGGTTCACCCCCAAAATGGCCACCATGGCCAGAGCTACGCTGATCCAAAGCCAGGAGCCAGATGCTTTTTCCTGGTCTCCCATGCGGGTGCAGGCGTCCAAGCACTTGGGCCATCCTCCACTGCCTTCCCGGGCCACAGCAGAGAGCTGGACCGGAAGAGGGACTAGAACCCAGCACCCCAACCAGGACTAGAACCCGGAATGCTGGCGCCGCAGGCGGAGGATTAACCAAGTGAGCCACGGCACTGGCCCCAGTCTGCATAAA